GTGTCACCCATGTCCCACGGTGTCACCCATGTCCCACATGACTCCACGGTGTCACCCATGTCCCACATGACACCACGGTGTCACCCGTGGTCACCCAGTGGTGGCACTGGTGGCTGTAGGACTTCTCTGCCTCACGTTTCCCACCCCAAAGTCAGAAGAAATGAGAATTGCACTCCCTAAACAAAACCCCCTCCGTCCCACCTTGCGCCGCTGACCCTCTCCCTGCTCCCCACCCCCTGCAGGACACGGATATCCCAAAAGGGTCACGGACACCCCAAAAGGGTCACGGACACCCCGAAAGGGTCAGGGAGACCCTAAAAGACACAGGGACATCCTAAAACGGTCAAGGAAACCCCAAAAGTGTCAGGGAGATCCTAAAAGGACAGGGATGCCCCAAAAAGGTCATGGACACCCTAAAAGGGTCAGGGAGACCTAAAATAGACAGGGACATCCTAAAACAGTCCAGGATATCCCAAAAGTGTCAAGGAGATCCTAAAAGGATAGGGATGCCCCAAAAGGGTCATGGACACCCCAAAAGGGTCAGGGAGATCCTAAAAGACACAGGGACATCCTAAAACGGTCAAGGAAACCCCAAAAGTGTCAAGGAGATCCTAAAAGGACAGTGTCACAGAGACCCCAAAAGGGACAGGGATACATTAACCCAGTTGGGTTTTGGGTTTTTTTCCCCGCAGGAACCCAGGAGAGCCTGGCGGAGAAGGAGCTGCAGCTGCTGGTGATGATCAACCAGCTGTCCACGCTGCGGGACCAGCTGCTGACGGCGCACTCGGAGCAGAAGAACATGGCCACCATGCTCTTCGAGAAGCAGCAGCAGCAGATGGAGCTGGCGCGGCAGCAGCAGGAGCAGGTGGACACCGGCACCCCACCTTTGGGACCGCCGGTGGTTTTGGGGTCTCGTTTTGCCTTCCCGTGTGTCCTAGTTTAGGGCAAATTCAGGGAAAACCCTCTGGGAGGAGCCCCCAGAAAACAAAAACCACCCACCTGGTTGGGGAAAAAATTTTCTCGGAGAGAAGTGGAAAAGAACCGGTTTATTTAACAAAAAAAAAAACCAATTAACAACACCAGCACCAAAAAAAAAAAAAAAAAAAAAAATTAACAACACCAGATGACACAAAAAACCTCTTTAACCACTCTGCAGAGATGAACAAATCCAGAAGGTCTCTCCTGGGTCTGGGCACTGGGGATGGCTGCTGCAGGTCACAGAGCGCAGGGCTCGGTGCTCCTCGGTGCTTCCAGGTCCCATCTGGAGCAGGCTGGATGGTATTCAGGAAAAGGAAAGGAAAAATAAAACAGTCCAAGGAAAGAATTGGACTGCTTGGCTAAACTCACTAGAAAGCAAAGGGAAAAGCAGAAGCAAGCAAAGCAAAGCAAAGCAAAAATCAGCACCAGCCTCTTCTAGCCAACAGACCATGGAGGGAGGTGAGCTGGCTGATAACAGGGCAAAACAAACCTTCACTTTCAGAGTCAGTTCTGAAAGCACAAAACAGAATATCAAACATAACCAGAACACACGATTGGAGATACAAACCCCATAACGTCACCCTACAAAGCCCTCGGAGCCGGGCGCACCAAAGGTGGATGGAGATGGGGGTTGAGCTCCTTAGGATGAGCAAACCACCCCAGGTGCCTCCTGCCTGCGCTCACCTGCTCCTTGAACGCCAGGCTGTCCTCTCCCAAGTGTTGGAATTTGTGGTGTAGATGATTTTGAGATTGTAGGAAATTTTTGGGTTTTTTTGCTTCGTTGCTAAAGAAGAAGCTATAATTTGTTAGGGGTGTTTATTTTTGTTTATGTCTAGCGTGTTTTGCTGCCCTGCTGTAGGTTTGTTTTGCAGGGCAGCGTGTGGGGCTCTGCCCCTCAGTGGGATGTTACAAATATTATATACTAGAAACTACCTGTGCTATATTTATGATAATGTGTTAATATTTATTATTTACATTGAACAGTGTGTCTCTAGCTTAAACTAATAGAAAAATGCCAACACCACAGTGAAACATGGAGGGCATGAAGAAGGAGAAAAAGGACAAGACACACTTAATTTTTTCTGTCTTGTCCCCTTTGGACCCCTCATCTAGAATCCTAAAATTTTACTTTTGCACCCGTGCCACACTTAATTATGACTGATATCAAACCCTCAGAGCTGGTAATTCATCCTGTGAGATTGAAAACTCTTTTCCACGGGCAGAGATCACAGCCAGTGTCTCTGGGGGCTCTGTCCAGGGGGGTTCCTGAGCCCTGCCAGGGTCCCAGGGCAGCCAGAGGGAAGCCCTGGACTCCCACACCAAGGGCAGGGGTGACACCGCTGTCACCCTGGGGTGTGACACGCAGCCCTTGTGTCCCTCGGGGTGCAGCTCAGCCCCTCCTCCTGCCCTCCCCACGCCCCTGGGGACCCCCTGCCACCCTTTTTCTGTGGTGCTGGATGGGTTCTGCCAGGCTGGAGGCCGGCCCAGCGCTGTCCTGGATGTCACCAAGGCCGCTGTCCCCTCCCCAGATCGCCAAGCAGCAGCAGCAGCTCATCCAGCAGCAGCACAAGATCAACCTCCTGCAGCAGCAGATCCAGGTAAGGGCAGGGGCACCGCCCCCGGCAGGTGCAGGATGTCCAAAATTTTAACTCCGATATCTCTGTTCAGCTCTTAATCTTTCTCTTTTCAAAGTTGTCTAGATAAGGAAGAAAAAGAAATGTTTCTTAGTATGTCCTGTTGCAACTCGTAAGCCTTTTAATAGACACATTATCCATATATGCCATAAAAGTTGTATTCATAGAGATATTCTTTATTATAAATCCAAAATTATATTAATATGTCTTCCACCAGATGGTCTCGGGGCCCATTTCCCCCATGCAATGACAATTTAAAAGTGATTTAGGCACTTCCTAACATTTAAAAAAAAAGCAAACTAAGGAACAGATATTGAGGTTCACTCTGATTTTAGTACTAAGGAACAGATATTGAGGTTTGCTCTAATTTGAGCACTAAGGAACAGATATTGAGGTTTGCTCTAATTTGAGCACTACATATTTTCTTCATGTTACCTCAACTTCCTGTCTCCTATTAAAATGTCAACTCGAAGACTTTCTTCTATAAAAGAGTTAATTATTAAAAGAATACCTTGTAGGAAAAGGAGAGAAAAGCTCTTTGCATTATGTTTGGATAACTTTTAATGTATGTCTTTTCCTAACAATTCCTAATGGTTTCCTCAAACTTTGTCCTAACCTGACAAAGTGTGCACACAAATAAGAATAGCAGGTTATGAGTTGGAAAGATTGCAAGTATCTTGGCCCCAAAATCAAATCAACATTCTTGACCTGAAATTAGAATATTGTAATTCCAATTCTGTGCATCAGAATGATACACTGGTACAGCCCCAAAAATCCCTGTACAAAAACACCAGTACAGCCCCCAAAACCCCTCATATAGCCCCAAAAACCCCAAAGAACCCTGGTACAGCCCAAAAAACTCAAAAATCCTGGTACAGCCCCAAAACTCCTAGTACATCCCCAAAAAACCCTTCAACCCCTGGTACAACCCCAAAAACCCCAGAGAACCCTGGTACAGCCCCAAAATCCCCTCTGAATCCTTGTACAGCCCCCAAAAAACCCTTATACCCCTGGTACAACCCCAAAACCCCCTTCAATCCCTGGTACAACCAAAAAACCCCAAAACCCTTGGTACAGCCACCCCAAACCCTGGTACAACCCCAAAAATCCCCGTCAGTCCCTGGTACAACCCTAAAATCCCTGTCAGTATCTGGTACAACCCAAAAATCCCCGTCAGTCCCTGGTACAACCCAAAAATCCCTGTCAGTATCTGGTACAACCCAAAAATCCCCGTCAGTCCCTGGTACAACCCAAAAATCCCTGTCAGTATCTGGTACAACGCAAAAATTCCCTTCTGTCCCTGGTACAACCCAAAAATCCCCTTCAGTCCCTGGTACAACCCCAAAAATTGCCCTTCAGTCCCTGGTACAACCCCAAAAATCCCCTTCTGTCCCTGGTACAACCCAAAAATCCCCTTCAGTCCCTGGTACAACCCAAAAACTGCCCTTCAAAATGATCCACAGAATGGTTTGAGTTGGAAGGGGACCTTGAAGATGATCTAATTCCATCCCACCATCCCCACCACGGACGGGGACACTTTCGGGGCGTTTGGTCCTTGCCGGAGCGACGCCGGCCGTGTCCTGCTGTGCCCTGGCGAGGGTGGCACTGACCCGGTGTCCCTGTCCCCTCCAGCAGGTCAACATGCCCTACGTGATGATCCCCGCCTTCAGCCCCGGCCACCAGCCCCTGCCGGTCAGCCCCGAGTCCCAGCTGGCCCTGCCCATCCAGCCCATCCCCTGCAAACCGGGTGAGTCGGGCTTGTCCCGGCCCTGCGGGGTGGCCTTGTCCCCACGGCCGTGTCCCCGCTGTCCCCGACCGCCGTCCCTCTGCTCCCGCAGTGGATTACCCGGTGCAGCTCCTGCACAGCCCTCCTCCCCCAACGCTGAAGAGACCCGCGGGCCCGGGCCACCTCCAGATGCAGGTAAAGCCCCCAAAAAAAGCAAAAAAACCCCACTGTTACAACCCCAAAAATCCTGGTACAGCCCAAAAAAACCCCAAAAATCCTGGTACAGCCCAAAAAACCCCAAACATCCTGGTACAGCCCAAAAAAACACAAAGAACTCTGGTACAGCCCCAAAAACCCCCAAAAATCCTGGTACAGCCCCCAAAACCCCAAAAAATCATTGTACAGCCCCCAAAACCCCAAAGAACCCTGGTACAGACCTAAAAACCCCAACAACTCTGGTACAGCCCCAGAAACCCTGGTACAGCCACAAAGCCCCTGGTACAGCCGCAAAAATCCCAAAGAACCCTGGTATGGCTCCCAAAACACCAAAAATCCTGGTACAGCACCAGAAACCCTGGTCCAGTCCCAAAAACCCTTGATACAGCCCCAAAATCCCAAAGAACCCTGGTACAGCCCCAAAAACCCTGGTACAGCCCCAAAAAGTCCAAAACCCCTGGTACATCCCCAAAAACCCCAAAGAACCCTGGTGCAGCCCCAAAAACCCCAAAAATCCTGGTACAGCCCCCGAAAACACTGCTACAGCCCCAAAACCCCAAAAATCCTTGTACAGCCCCAAAATCCCCTCCAAATCCTTGTACAGCCCCAAAAAACCCCTTCAACCCCTGGTACAGCCAAAAAAAAATCCCTTCAACCCTTGGCACAGCCCCCCCAAACCCTGGTACAACCCCAAAAATCCCCTTCAGTTCCTGGTACAACCCCAAAGATGCCCTTCAACCCGTAGTACAACTCCAAAAACCCAGTACAGCCCAAAATCCCCATCCAAACCCTGGTACGGCCCCAAAAATGCTCTTTAACCTCTGGTACAACCCCAAAAATGCCCTTTAACCTCTGGTACAACCCCAAAAATGCCCTTCAACCCCTGGTATAGCCCCAAAAAAACTCTTCAGTCCCTGGTACAACCCCAAAACCCTCCTCAACCCCTGGCACAACCCCAATAAAAACCCCTCCAACCCCTGGCACAGTCCCCAAAGCCCCTCCACACCCCAGGTTGGGGCTTTGGGGACAGCTCCTCACCTGCCATCCTTCCTCCTCCTCCTCCTCCTCCTCCTCAGGAACCCTCGCAGCCGCTGAACCTGACGGCCAAACCCAAAGGTCCCGAGCTGCCCAGTGCCTCCAGTTCGCCCAGTTTGAAGCTGAGCGGGTGCCAGTCCCTGCCGCCGAGCCACGGGGCCAGCAGGGAGCTGCAGAGCAGCCCGGCCAGCCTCCCTCTGGGTGGGGACACCGGTGACATCCCCGCTGCTCCCCGCGGCGCCCGGGTGGTCACCCCGGGCCGTGCCACCCCTCGGGGCACGGCGGGGACGGGCAGGGCGGTGGGGGTCAGCGGGGTGACCGCTGGCACTGATGGGTGCCCATGGGGGTCAGTGCTCTGAGTGGTCAGCAGAGTGACCACTGGCACTGATGGGTGCCCATGGGGTGGGTGCTGTGAGTGGTCAGTGGAGTGACCACTGGCACTGATGGGTGCCCATGGGGTGGGTGCTGTGAGTGGTCAGTGGAGTGACCACTGGCACTGATAAGAACCCATGGAGTGGGTACTCTAGTGGTCAGTGGGGTGGCCGCTGGCACTGATGGGTGCCGATGAGGTCAATGCTCTAAGTGGTCAGCAGTGGTCATTGGGGTGGCCACTGGCACTGATGGGTGCCCATGGGGTCAGTGCTCAGAATGGTCAGCAGTGGTCAGTGGGGTGGTCAATGGGGTGGTCAGCAGGGTGGTCAACGGGGTGGTCAATGGGGTGACCACTGGCACTGATGGGTGCCCATGGGGTCAGTTCTGTGAGTGGTCAGCAGAGTGACCACTGGCACTGATTGATGCCCATGGGGGTGTCATAGCCCATGACCCATGACCCATGGGGGTCAGCGGGGTGGCCGCTGGCACTGATGGGTGCCCGTGGGTACCCTGGGGGTCAGCGGGGTGGCCGCTGGCACTGACGGGTGCCCGTGGGTACCCTGGGGGTCAGCGGGGTGGCCGCTGGCACTGACGGGTGCCCGTGGGTACTCTGGGGGTCAGCGGGGTGGCCGCTGGCACTGACGGGTGCCCGTGGGTACTCTGGGGGTCAGCAGAGTGACCACTGGCACTGACGGGTGCCCGTGGGTACTCTGGGGGTCAGCAGAGTGACCACTGGCACTGACGGGTGCCCATGGGTACCCTGAGGGTCAGCGGGGTGGCCGCTGGCACTGACGGGTGCCCGTGGGTACTCTGGGGGTCAGCAGAGTGACCACTGGCACTGACGGGTGCCCGTGGGTACCCTGGGGGTCAGCAGGGTGGCCACTGGCACTGACGGGTGCCCATGG